AAAACTTTATTCTTGTTAGAATACTTGTTTCATTATTATACGTAAATAGAAATTAATTTAGGAAAAACAAAAAAATATTCATTTACTTAAAAAGATTGTTCATTTATCTTTTTTATTATGTATTATATATACCTACATAAAAAGAATTATATTAGATTCAACTGAAATTCTATGCACATACTAACATCATAGCTTCAATAGTTTAAGAATGTATCACATATGAAAGTTGTATTTATAACATTCTCTATTTTTATTAAACATATTTTTAGATTAATTAGTTTACTATTATATAGTTTACACTTATTTAGTTTATTATTTTTTAATACTAAAATTTAAAAAATAACAAAAATCGCAATTTTTTAATGTACATAAGTATTTCAAAATAACTTATGCTTTGTATCCAGGAATTAAGGATATATTACGTACTTTCAAAATAATGAAAAAATTACAGATTATTCAAATCGCATTGAAAAGTAATAGAAAAAATTTAGCGACTTAAAATCTGCATCAAAAATATATTAAAAGTAATATTTTTTTATCTAATAAGCCGTCGCTAAATTTTTTTATTATTAAATGCAATTAGAATAATCTGTAATTTTTTAAATTATTTTGAAAATTTATGTGTAATACATCTTTAATTGTCATGAGTACGATCCGAATCGTTTCGATCGGAAATCGCGACTCGTCATCGCTGCGATCATAATCAAGAAACTGAAAATTTCGCTTCAACGCGGAGCAACATGTCGAAATGATCAGGATCGACGCACGCGACTACTCCACTAGGCGGAAAGGAGAAATTATCCGAGATATTTTTAGAAAAACGAAGGTGGCACGCTACTTGAATGTAGGTCGACATATAACGTAGTCGTTCCGGCGTTTTATTGATTTTCCGCGGACTCGATTCCGGCGTATTCGCCGTCACCGATTTGCCGTTTTGGATGTACGACGCATGTAAAAAGATCGACGTGCATCCTAATCAGTCTGACATTTCTCTATCTTACTGGTCCCGATTGTCTTTAGAGCGCACAAAACCTGCCTAAACCTAAATGCTAAAGAAAACATTCTATTCATATACAATAATAATTCACA